TATATATATATATATACACATAACCATAAAAACATACAAACACACAAAAAAATGTATAACGTAAAACTATTATAAACTTTTATTTACAGTACCATACATTTAAAGAAATATATATATTTTTTTATTTATTTGATTACTTTTTTTACTTTATTTTTAGGTCCAATTCTCACTATTAATTAAATATATAGTTCAGTCATGAAACTCTAGATGGCGCAGGTGACAGATTGTTAACATAACCGATGATATTCAGAGAGTTAAACGACTTGGCACAAGCTGATTGGTTCAGCCAATGAGCTTACTGCCTTGCATTTATATGGCTGGCTAGCATTCACTAGAGATTCCTGCAGCACGCTTTCAGAGTTTCTCTGAAACGCTCCACCTGTATAGATCTGCTAGGGGTTATTTTATATGCTATTTGTGCAGCACCAGTATGTCTTAAATACTCACAGCACCGTATCGCCGTATGCATTGGCAATAGCAAGTTCCTGTACTTGCTTGCAGCAGCAGCAATAATCTACAACTACAACAATAACCAACAGCAGCAGCAATAATCTACAACTACAACAATAACCAACAGCAGCAGCAATAATCTACAACTACAACAATAACCAACAGCAGCAGCAATAATCTACAACTACAACAATAACCAACAGCAGCAGCAATAATCTACAACTACATCAATAACCAACAGCAGCAGCAGCAGCAGCAGCAGAGTAGCAGATCTATTCCGCCAAGACCAAATACATTAACATTGTCATATCCATCACCATGCTAAAATCTTCAGAGAGTTGTCATGATTGAACTATTAACTACGACTCCTGCCTCAAAAATCTCCTAATTTGCTGCTTATCAACAGTTAGTAACGTATATGTTGTACGTAGTACGTAGTAGTTAAGTTTAGGTATGGAGAAAGATTAAGAGATCTAAAATATGGTCATGTAGAATAATGCATTAATATGTGTCCTCTGAAACCCTCCACCTTCCCCAGCTCCACCTGTATAGATCTGCTATGGGTTCTTTTATATGCTATTTGTGCAGCACCAGTATGTCTTAAATACTCACAGCACCGTATCGCCGTATGCATTGGCAATAGCAAGTTCCTGTACTTGCTTGCAGCAGCAGCAATAATCTACAACTACAACAATAACCAACAGCAGCAGCAATAATCTACAACTACATCAATAACCAACAGCAGCAGCAGCAGCAGCAGCAGCGTAGCAGATCTATTCCGCCAAGACCAAATACATTAACATTGTCATATCCATCACCATGCTAAAATCTTCAGAGAGTTGTCATGATTGAACTATTAACTACGACTCCTGCCTCAAAAATCTCCTAATTTGCTGCTTATCAACAGTTAGTAACGTATATGTTGTACGTAGTACGTAGTAGTTAAGTTTAGGTATGGAGAAAGATTAAGAGATCTAAAATATGGTCATGTAGAATAATGCATTAATATGTGCTTTATAAGTACAAATAAACAGACAATGTGCTAGTAATATGCATGCTAGTTAATAGTGGAAACTGGTCCTTAAAATAAAATGTTACCAATAGCTTTAGTAGCAGGGTTGAATGGTTGAGCTTGACAAATGCAGTCAGCACTACAATTTGTGTAAAACTGAAAAATGGAATGACTATTTTATACTTGTTAATATTAAATTTTTTTCTATAGTGATTAAATGTCAGATAAAGAGAAAATCTTTGTACAACTAGCTATTGCTATGCGAATTATGTATACTGTATATATACAGGAGCAACTAACGCATGCTGTAATCCAGCAGGACAATCATTCAGTAATAGTTATATACTTTCTCTATCTCTTTGTCTCTGTCTTCAATCCCTGTCAGTCATTTGTCATTTACTCATAGTGAACCTGTGTGTGTGTTTATTTAGCTGAGATTGGTGATTTTGAGGAAACTCAGTGTAGACAGCATCTACTTAACACCAACTACATCCCTGACCAGATGGCCCTGATGGACAAAATCATGGAGTTCCACCATAAACACATGTGAGTCTCCCAAACAAATATTAATGCTCGCTGACTGCACACTTTCAGTAGATTGCCAACATCCATTTAATTTGATTGTGCTTTTTCTTCTGGAAGTCATTTTTGATAATTTGTATACTGTTTTTTCACCTGCAATGTGACCATTAAGTGTCGGATGTTCAGAGGGCATTTAGTAGATGTTGTTGTGACAGTATAAATTATTACAGAATCAAGTACATTATAGCATATAGCAAAACACCAGTCAGTGTCATAACTTTGTGTTTGTGTGTGTTTAAGTGGACAGTCTCCCGCAGGGTCAGATTACCGGTTGCTGGAGGTGGCGTGCAGGTTGGAGATGTACGGTATCCGACTCCATCCTGCTAAAGACAGAGAAGGATCCAAACTCAGCCTGGCTGTAGCACACGGCAGCGTCCTCGTGTTTCAGGTGCATGCAATCACACACTCTCTCTCACACACACATGAGTATATATGAACCACAGCATGACACAAGTTGTGTTTTACTCAGGGACACAACAGGATCAACGACTTCAACTGGTCTAAAATACGCAAGCTGAGTTTCAAGAGAAGGAGGTTCCTTATCAAACTGAGAGCAGACCCTAGCGTGAGTTTCATGCTGTATGAATGTGTCATTATATTAAGCGCACATTTATCATGCCGAATTGTGACATGGTGTCTCTGTCTGTCTCGTCCTGTAGCAGAATGTTAATCAAGATACTCTGGAGTTTTTGATGGCGTGTCGGGACTGCTGTAAAATGTTTTGGAAGATCTGTGTGGAGTATCATGCCTTCTTCAGGCTCTTTGAGGAGCCCAGACCCAAACCTAAACCGGTGCTGTTTAGCAGGGGCTCATCCTTCAGGTTCAGGTGCTAAACCTGATTAAATGCTTTTGGTAACATGTATATGTGTATTTGTCTGTAGGTGAAGTGTGAACCCTTGTGAAAAGAAGTGTACTTAACTGTAATGAATGTGCGCTTGTAGTGCACATCAAATCTTAAAACTGTACTTGCAGATAAAAGGCCACTTAAGTGTAGTACTATCATTATGTTTCAATAGTTGTTTGTCATGCTTTAAAGATTAGAAGTACACTTATTTTGAAGTACATGTAAAATACTTAATAATTTTAACTGTAGTGTATTATTTTGCTCTTGTCAACATGTTGTGTAATTCAGTTGGACTAATTACCCCCTCTTCTCTGCAGCGGGCGGACACAGAAGCAGGTGATAGATTATGTGAAGGAAAATGAGTTTAAAAAACTGCCCTTTGATAGGTGAGCCTGATCTGTTATTATAATGAACGGAAAGTCAAGAGTTCACCACTGCTATTCCTTTAATGTTTAATTAGTAGAAACTTGTAAGGCTGTGTGGTTCATTGTTTGTATGTCTGATGTTTTCTCTTTCAGGAAACATAGTAGAGTGCAGTATAGCAGCAGCCTGTCACCTCTGCGTCACCAAGTGCCAAATCAAGTTAGTGTCTGCACTTATGAATGTTTTCAAGTCACTTTTAACTACGAGAGATGTTGGTAACATTTTAGAATAGGGAACACTTATTCACTATTAACTACGACATTTCCCTCGATAAATTCCTAATTTGCTGCTTATTAATAGTTAGATTAGTTAATTTGCTGCTTATTAATAGTAAGGTAGTTGTTAAGTTTAGGTATTGGGTAGGATTAGGGATGTAGAATAAGGTCATGTAGAATAAGGAATTAATATGTGCTTAATTAGTACTAATAAATGGCTAATATTCTAGTTATATGTATGCTAATAAGTAACTAGTTAAGAGACCCTAAAAAGTGTTACTGAGATGTTAAGCTCACTCTAAATCATTTGTTGCATGATATTATGTTGCACAGAAAATATTTCAGAAATGGATGGATAGATATTAAAGGTGCATTCAGTCGTTTAGTGCCAAGTTGTATACTTAGGAAATGCATTTTTGTGGAGTTTTTGTGAAAAGTCTGAATCTGAATGGCTGTAAACTCAAACATAATGAAGACTGTACTGTAATAATTTTCTAAGAAGTGTCTATAGATGCATTAGTAGGATAGTGTAGTTTGGTAATGTGAAGAGCAAAAGTTAGACAATGGAACACTGTTTTCAGTGTTCAGTGTGTACGCTATTATCGTAATTGGTAACACTTTATTTTAAGGTGTCTAGTTACACGTTACATGTACTTACTATTATAATAACAATTAATTATGCATAATTACATGCAAGTAACCCTAAGCCAAACCCAAATCCTAACCCCAACCATATAGTAAGTAGATATAGTTAATTAATATTACTCAGTACTTAATTGTATAATTACACTGTAACACGGACACCTTAAAATAAAGTGTAACCTCGTAATTTACCAGCAAAGACAACAGGAGAATCACCAGTATGGCCGAAGAAGTAAAAAATGTCTGAAGCCAGTAGACAGAATGACAAAAACAGTCATAAACTTCAGCATGGCTTAAAAAAGGTGGAAATATTTGACTGAAAATATCCCAAGTAGTGATGCCCAAGTTGCTTCTTTTTGGTCGGACAAGTAAGGGTTTAATTACTGTGTAATCTGTTCTCTAAAACTCACTAGTATCAGGGTAATTTACATAAAACTCATAGACAATCATGCTGATCCGTGCGATAGATGGCAGTGAAGCATCTACCACCATTTCGGTATTAGTAGTTACAGTACACAAAGAACAGCAACACTAATGCTAGCTAAACAACTACTGAATGCACTTTTAAATTAGTATGATTTATCTTAAATAATAAAAATAACAAAATAAAATGAATGACTGAACCAATGGACTGGGCCCTAGAGGAGCCTAGTGTTCAGCCCTCTTTGGCTGAAGGGCCTGGCATCCTGAAGCTTTGGAGGCCACGGGGCAATGATCCCAATGGTCCCGTTTATAATCCAGCCCTGGCAAGAATAGCAGAAATTGACATGATGTTACTATCTGCAAAATATTATTCTCAAATTCCACCCTTAGCCAAGTGCTGTCATAACCAGAGATTCATCCATGTAGTTCCACCCTAAAAAAAGACAATAAAAAAAAAATGCATGGATCAAAAAATTAATTTAACTCAGGAACAAGCCTCACATTTCTGCTTCTACCCACTCTGGAATGCTGGCCCCTAGACTTCCATTGTAATTGCACTGCTGTAAATGACAAGTCAATTAATTTCAGTGATTGGTAGCCCATTACTCATGTAGAACCTAGAATACTCTGGAAACCATAATGTGTAGGTACTGATGAAGGACTTCTCTCTTCCTCTCTCAGGCTGTCAAGCAGTGCTGGGAGGGCTCATTTTTAGTAAGCTCAGAAGATTCTGCGGTAGTAAGACCAGGCGGAAACTCCTCCCCATCAACTCAGCGCAACGGATGCAGCGACCAAACGTACCCCATTCAAGAGGATAGCAGCAGTCCGGCAGCTAAGCAGCCGCCCGTCGATCGAGCAGGTCTGGCGTCCCGTGCAGCTAAAGGCAGCAGCTCATCCATCCCGTATATTGACTGCAGTGATGCAGAGTTTAGTGAACAGGAAGTCAGAGGTCGGGTCAGCAGGTCACACTCGCACACACGTGATGGCAACAGCGGCAGCGCTTATGGCACAGGGTTTGGTTCGCCCCGGCCACATCAACAGGACAGATACTTGGGCAAGTTCAGGCAGGAAGAGTCTCTGCCTCTTTCCCCTGTAAGCCAATCAGAAAGCCCTGCACACAGCTATCCCAGCCCCTCCTCTCCAAATAAAAGTGCTAACATTTTTGAGTCGTCATTTTTTGGAGGCAGGGTATGTGGGCCGCTTCATAGCACACTATTGGAAGAGTTGGCCGCAAAAAGCTCCTTAAACCACCACACAGGCACTAGGAGCCTGACCTCTAGCCCCGTCCCCTCCTCAATTCACAGGACCAGCTCACTAAGCTACGCCCAGTATAATGGACACACCGGGCGGAGTTTTAGTTCAAAAGCAGGATGGGAGGAAAGGGGCGGACTATTTAGTAGCTGCTCCCCAATTATGAATCGTTCAGCAAACAAGTCCCAGAACACTGTTAGCCAATTAGAAAGAAACATACGAGTCTCGAATCAGCCACACCCTCCCGTTCTCCCCCGTGCCGAGAGAATGGCCATGTTGGAGCGCCGAATGCTGGCCAACGGGCTCACGCCTCCTGGCAAGGCCAATCTCAAGCCAAGCTCCCCGCACCGGCGCTTCGGGGCTGTGCAGATGATTGACGGCTCCACCAGTAGTGGAACAGACACTAGTGACTCTGAAGAGGCGGAGTCTACTGGCTCCTGCAGCCATTCGCTAGGGCTTGAAAACCAAGCCACCCGTAGTTCGTCCCCCCTCCCCAGAAACAAGTACTCGTTCGGAAGCTTGCAGCTAGATGAGCTTGACAATGAAGGAGGGTGTGTGAACCTCAGTGATGAGGAAGGGATGCAAGTGTTTAACTGCTAGCATGCTAGTGTGAAAACGTCATTGCGGTGTGCTTCTCGGCAATGCCTCACTGAATGTTCTTTCCTATACCCTGAGATGGCCTTAGCTGTGTGACAAGGCGGATATTCTTCCCTTTCTTGAGGCAAAACTCTGTATAGTTTTGCAGGAAGGGATTTTACCCATCCTCTGTATTTGAACAAGAGGGGGCTTTTGTGGTGCCAAGTTCTGCACAGAATGCTAATTACTGACAGTTCTGATGCTGCAATAATCTGCAATACTTCAGAAATTCAGTTATGTTGTCACTCCCCGGAGTAACTTCGAGATCTCTGCGTTTGGAAAAATGCGAGGAGCCATAACAGTAGATGTGAACGTGATTTTGCCAAGTAAGACATGTTCCTGGATCCATATCCTTGTTGATACTGGAGCGACTTTCCTGTTGACCAATCAGACATTTGGGTTAGGGTTAGGTTTAGTCTTAGAGTTGAAGACTGGGGTTCCAGCAGCACTGTCAACTCATCATTTCGCACTAGTTTTTAAAAGTTGTTAAGGGTGAGGCTGTAATATGAATGAGTCTGAGGTAGAACACTTTTTGGGGCCTTCATGCCTCTCCTTTATGAGGAACACTCTGCATTAACCATTACTTTTAGACTTTTTAATAACTGTAGGAACTAGAACTTGGATCCTACTGTACAGTTGAAATGATTGTGGTACTTTTTAGAACAAGGCTGGGCAACTCTGGCCCTCAAGGTCCTTTGTCCTGCAGAGTTTTGCTCCAACCTTACCTGTAGCTGTCTAGTAATCCTGAAGACCATGATCACCTTGTTCAGGTGTTTGATTAGGGTTGGATCTAAACTCTGCAGGTAAGTGGATCTCAGGGGCCAGAGTTGCTCACCCCTGCCTTTGAAGCTTGTTTAGCTCTCAGTATGGTGTAGAGCACGTTTAGGCAGCTCTGTTCCTGGAGGACTACCTTCCTGCAGAGTTCAGTTCCAACACTGCTCCAACACACCTGCCTAAAACTTTTAAGTTATCCTAAACACCATGTTTATAAAGTATATTTCATTGGGGATGGAGCAGGAAGGTAGCAGGAAGTAGCTCTCCAGTAGCAGAGTTGGCTTCCCCTGCTATAGAACTTCATCTTCATTCATATTCTCAATCGTCACTTTGCCAGTTTGCCATTTGTACATTTGTGCTAGCACTCACAGCTGCTTCTTCATAGAATAATTTAAAGAACAGTGTGATTTTTGAAGTTTCACTCATCATGGCAAACGATCTTCATATCATCGTCTTCATTGTGTGGCTCATTTTTCCTTCTGGCTGAGCCTCGGAAATATCTCTGTTTACTATGATAAATTAGCAGATTCAGACTGGACATTTTTAATGGAAACTTATAAAATCCTGCATGCTTTTTTTATTAGGTAGATTTGAATGTACCCATTTTGAATATAAGGGGGTTTTGTCCTATTGTGTCAAAATTGTGATGAATGTACTTGTCAGTAAGAGATTTGAGATTATGAAATGAAAATCCTGTCATTGTATACTCATCTTCATGTCACAAAAGGAACAATTTTGAAGAATGGTTTGCACTGCTTTTTTAGAAAACAACAGAAGTGTACAGTTTATTGGTCTCAATGGGCCATATGGGTTTGGAATGACACAAGGGTGAGTAGGAAATGACAGAACTTTCATTTTTGAGTGAACTGTCTCTTTAAGCTGTACGATGGTTCAGTCTACAGAGAGAAAGTGTCACAGCATTTGTGTCTGCGTCTCACTGTGTTTCACTCTCTCTCCCTCGCTGAGCACCTCTACCTTACCTTGCACATGGGTTTACCTGTTATCCTTCAGCAGGGATTGGAAAGGGTTGTGCATACTTGTTGTGGTATTTTATTTATTTGTTTTTTCAAAAATTCCCAGAAAAAAATAATGCCATCTAGCACATGAGTTTCTAATCCCTGCCTGATTTCTCACTCAGCTTTGATGTCTCTACACTCTTGGCTGATATTCACTATTGTTTTATACCTTTTCTTTCCTGCCCTGTTTTTTTTTTCCTGAAACCGCTTGAGCTTGTCATCCTTGTCATTTATGATCAATAAATGCTTGTTATGTTTTCTGCTGGCATTTAAAATGGAATGAATGAATCTTTGTAACTAATGGTGTTTTTTAAATGCTGGGCTGCATGCTCTCCCTTCATATGGCTATTCTGTTCTATTTCAATGAAAGCTGAAAGGGCAGAGCGTCCTGGGAACTTTTCACACATGAAAATTTAAATATCATTATGAATGTCTGTGACATGACTGATCTTCTTTTGTTTGTTCACACAATGATCAAATTATACACCAGGACTGTTTATAAATCGGCTTTATGGCCTGAAAAAAATGATACCACCTGCTGTTCATTTGTGTGAATGACATGTTGATGTTCTTTCTCGCACCTTGGCTATGTTCAGAATGGAATACTATTGGAATACTATTCTGAACATAGTCGTTCCCTCTCTTCCTCTGTCTCATTCAGCACTGTTCAAGCTTAATCTCTGTTCTGATGTTTCCCTGCCTGTCTCTTCTCAATGACTTTTGGTTCTGCTGCTCTTTATAAACCACATAGACTTTTTAACACTGTATTTTGTGCACTAGTGTAATAAAGTTACAGTTGGCCTTTGAAGACTCAGGAATTGTTTTTTTTAAAGCTTATAATGCTCATATTTTTCATAATCCAACCCCCCTTCCCTTTCACTCCTACCAACACCCCCCACCCCCTCCCGGCTAGCTATGGCTGCACAGCGCATGTCTCACTGTCTCTCTGTCAACACATGTATGTATATAAAGTGCAGCATACATGCATTAGTTCACACTATATGTTTGTATGGTGTAGTGTGAATTGTTTGTATGTTGGATGGTTTACATGGAGTTTGTGCTGTAAATACACTACCATTTACAAGTTTGGACACGTTCCTTATTATTACAGTTTTCCATATTTTCAAGTTGTCAAAAGTATGACATAACATTATGTAGTGGCCAAAACGTGAAACAAATCAAAAGTCTTATATATTTCAGCTTCTTATCCAGCTATCACTCAACTAACTAACTTTAAACTGTATTTATGGAGTTCATATGTACTGTATACCAGCGACTTGTTGATGCGTTTCCCTTGTGAAAAATAAATGTGCTTAATTGTATTGAATGTACACTTGTAGTGTACTTAAAATCTAAAAGTATATATTTAAAAAAAAAAAACTGTACTTGCAGATAATATTAATAAAATTAGATGCTCTTAAGTGTACTTAAATAGAGTAATCATTCATGACTTCTTAACACACTTAAGTGCACTTTTAAAAAGTACAGAATGTCAAATTAAATTAAAAGTATTACTTTAACGTAATATGTTTATCATTGTTTTAATAATCTTTTGTTGTGCTTTGATGAAGTACACTTATTTTGATGTGTTGATTAATATACTAAAACACATGTGAAGTACTTGATTATAATTTTAACTGTATTGTAGATGTAACATTTAAAGTTAATATATTTTAAATGTACCAAATTGCAATTTCATCATTACAAATGTGTAATGACAAATATATTTAATTACATTCCATTTTCAATAGAAATCATATTAAAGTATATTTTAGTTTACTATAAATGCTTATCAGTGCATTCGCATTAACCATATTTCAAAAACGAAGACTGAAGTTCATCTAATTGCATTTAATATAAATTCTAATTATGTACATTTTCATTTAATCGCATGTTAACTGAAATGTTTCTGAAAACATTACAGTCAGCTCGCACTTAAGTATATTATTTCCATAATAAGTACTCTTTTTAAAAGGATGCTGAAGTGTACTTCTGTTTCACACAGGGGCCCAACTTGTCTATTTGAAACTTTGAGTTTCAGAGCTTGAAGGCCATGAGAAACGTGTTCACAGCTTTGAATGGTAGAGTATACAGTATGTCATTAAGATAGCCCTCACACTGGTTTGTGTTGGTGTCTGTGTCGGGCTGCACTCACACCTGCTTCATTTATCATGACTGCACTACTCAAAGGAAACGCCAAGAGGCGGATTTGGGCAAGTACTGAGAAAAACCTCCTGTAGGAGTACAGATTTGGGGAAAGCACACTAGACTATAGGAACAATGAACATAGACATGCATATTTAGCATTTATCAATTATTTATTTTACCCATTTAGACTCAAGAACTGTTACTGCTTATATCCCGTACCAAAAGTACAATGGCATTACCATGGTACAGCAACTTTGATAAATGCATGTATGATCACTGTATCCCTGTACTATGGTGCTCCATGGTACTTCAAAGATTAACATGCTACTCCCATGGTTAATATTCAAGAGAAACATAGCAGTGCCATAGTATTTTTGTACTTTTTTTTGCTATTGATGCATATTTGCATGCTAAAATAAGTGAAAGTGAAGTCTAAATGCACACATCCCATATCAAAACGATAAATATAATAGGAATCTGCCTCAGGTCTGTGCTAATGATCTTCATCTGTGTCTGTCTCTCGTTCTCAGAGGTGACGTGTGCTTTGGTAACATTAGTTAACGGTCACGCTGATGACTGTAGAGGAGCGACGCCATCTCCTCTCATCTCCCCCATGCTGAATGACACTGGTGCCATACGCACTGATGAGGAGGAGGACAACAGGAGGAAGGTGAGAGCTGTGGATGAACGGGTGTGTTTGCTAGCAAGTGGAAACTGTGTTTATGTGACTGGCTGTACAGTCAATAGTTCTCAAAAGCGTAAAGATTTGTTACATGGTACCATAGCAGCACGAACAGTTTTCAGCATTGATAATAAGCAAATCAGCATTTTAGAGTGATTTCTGAAAGATCATGTGACACAGTAGACTGGAGTAATGATGCTGAAAATTCAGCTTTGCAACATAGGAATAAATTACATTTTAAAATATATTACAATTACATTATCCTACATGTATTTAAATTACATTTAAATGTACGTCAGTGTGGCTTTATTTAGTTTATATGCATTATAAATAGGGTGACCATGCATCCTCTTTTCCCTGGACATGTCCTCTTTTTGGACCTAAAAAAAATGCGTCTGGCCTATTTCTTAATCAACTGCTTTGGGGAAGTCATGGCCTAATGGTTAGAGAATCGGACTCGTAACCCAAAGGTTGTGGGTTCGAGTCTCGTTCCGGCAGGGAATGTAGCCCTTTGGATGGGATAAATGCAGAGCACTAATTCTGAGTATGGGTCACCATACTTGGCCACATTTCACTTCACTTAATCACCCAAAATGTCTGGGATTCAGCTGTTTTCATAATCTCGCTCCCGCTGAATCTCTGACCATTGCCGCCTGCTCCCGCAACATGCGTTTAGCTCCTGCGATTCCTGTGCATCAGGGAGCCACTCTCAGTATTTAAATCCCTTTTGATTTCGCGATCACGCACTCTGTGTAAAGGGAGCACATCTTACCAGATCAGATATGTGTCAATGAGCTCAGGATCTGTTGAGCAGCAAATACTCAAGCATGGTCTTGTCAGTCATCTCTTCTTATTCTCGACCTGTGGTCAGTCAAATCTGACTCCTGCAGCTCTTGTTGGATGCAGGGTTGCCAAGTCTTGGCACTTTTAAACTGTTGCCATAGGTTGATTTTCCCAAGTGGGTTAAAGGTTTGAAATATTGCATAAATTACATTTTACTGAAATACTTGTATTGAAACATTTTGCATTCTACCTATGATAAAACTTTCATGGACTTTTACATTAACTGTTCCCTCCTGGTGGAATGACCTGCCCAGCTCAATCCAAGCAGCTGAGTTCTTAATATTTTCAAGAAACAGCTGAAAACACATCTCTTTCATCTTCATTTGACCCTTTAACTCTATAGAGTTAGAGGGTCAAATGAAGACGAAATGAAGGGTCAAATGAAGGGTCAAATGAAGCATTATAATAGAGAGTGCTATATAGCACTCTCTATTATAATGCTAATTCTAATTTTATCTGCTTGTTTTTTTTATTTAAAAAAATCGACCCTCTAACATTTGCATCACTATTCTATTTCTATTCTATCTACTTGTTTTATTTAAAAAGAAAAAAGAGCCTTTAACACTAGCATTCTCTATTCTTTCTCTGTTCTTTCTACTTATTATCTTTTTATTTATTATAAATAACGACCTTCTAACACAAGCATTATCTATTCTTTTTCTGTTCTATTGACTTCTTTTATTTTTATTTATTATAAAAACAAAACAAGCAAAGAAACACACATACACACACACAAAAAACTTGCTATGTATACTTTTAGGCGAAACCCCGCCCACGAACAAAAAAAAAAACTAAACTAAAATATGGACATCCTAATAATAAACCATCTCTATAACTCAACTGTAGTATAGCTGATGTCAGTTTTCATGAAGTGATATATTGTACTGATGACTTGTGCTGTGTTGTGTGTGGTTTTGCAGAACTGTCCCGCTGATAACGCGTACTTCATAGCTAAAGAGTTGCTGAACACTGAGAGGACATACCTCAAGGACCTGGAGCTGATCACAGTGGTAAATGATGGACAGACTCTTCA